CGTGCCCGGCCCCCGCTGCTGGCGACTCAGCGACCGCGGACTGGCGGCGGCGGGGCTCCAGGAGGAGGCAGTTGGTGCAGCTCTGCACGGGCTCAGCATTTCGTCGTTCGTGGTGGCCCTGGCTGCCCACACGTGCGCGGTTCCGAGGGTGCTAGCCGCGGGGAGCGCTCACCACGCTCGCTCTGGGAAACGTGGCCCCAGCCGGGCCACGAGCCCTCTGGCCCAGGCGTGTGCCTACCGCTCCCTGGGTTATTTGAGGGATGTGGGGGTGGCAGGGGTTCTGTAGGCTCTTGGCAGCGTGGGAGGGTATCTCCTCCCTGGAGTTGGGGCAGCGGAGGAGCTGGGAATCAGTGAGACCTGCAGTGACGTTTGACTTCTCGCTTCACTTTCCGGAGGCGGGCAGGCGGGAGGGAGAGAGTTCAAACGACCCATACTGCAGTCTTTACTGTGGGTTGTGTAACAGGCACTCAGTTTGGATAGTAAACCCATTCCAGGCACTTGCCGAGGTCGTTTTACATGCAGCTCTGGAAGGAGGCAGCTTTTAGCAGGCAGGTTTTACGCGGAGAGCTGCCCTGGGTCAGCCTGCCCAGGACGCAGACTGTCCAGAGGACGGAGGGGTGCAGTTAGACTGTTAGACTTTGCACCTTGATAGGCATCACTCCTCTAATCCACACCGCCTCCTTGGGGTTAACATGAAGAAACGGAGGCATGGAGAAACAAGCTGATCACATTGCCCAGACTCCTATACCTCCTGAATCTTCTGCCCCTCCCTCTCCCCCCCCCCCCCCCCCCCCCCGTGTGCTTTGGGCATTTGGGAGGGGGCACACAGGTGGCAGTTATCTGGGAGGAGGGCCCACAGAACTCCCCAGTGGCCGCTGTATCTTGTTGCTGATGCTGGCCCCATGTGAGTAAGTGTGAAGGCCAGAATGTCGTACTCCGTTTTCTGGGTTCCGGGCAGCTCTCAGAGCTGGCAGTCCGTGGCTGGACAGGCATGAGTCCAGTGAGCAGAGGTATGGGTATTCATAGTCAGGCAAGGCCTGTCTTCCACTGTGCTACTGGGCCAAGCTGTCACCCTGTCTGTGCCTCCAGTGTCTCAGTGGGGAGTTAGAGGCATGCTACTGCCCAAGGCCTGGAGGATTCTTTCAAAACTGGTTCAGGAAAGACCCTGGACAAAAACCAGGTGGCATTTTGTATAGGAAAGACTATCCCTCCGATGTAATAAAAGTCCCTATACTCGAAGCTGTTTTTTCTTTTCTTTCTTTCTTTCTTTTTTTTCTTTTGGAGAAGTTCTTACTATGGGGCGCGTGCGCTCGCCAGGAAGACAGAGACAGAGAGACAGAAAGCGAGAAATCACCCCCCAGGAGGGATGGCCGTGCCACAGTCCCTTCTCCATTCTCCTCTTGGGATCTTAGGCACACACACACATGCACCGGCATGAGTTTAAGCCACCAGGTCCAGGACTCGAACCGCGGTTGACTACATGGGAGTCCAGCAACATAGCCATTACTCCAACTGCTGGTCCTGAAGCTGTTTTTTCAAACACCCTTGGGCAGTCTGGGGAAAGTTAGGAGCAGAGAGATATTTGAGCAGACTCTGGGCCCACCGGTGTTGCAGAGGTGGTCGCTGGCCTTCTTGCTGCGAGTTTGTTTTAGCTTGCTCTTGGCTTGAGAAAGAATTGGTCATGCCTTTCGAGCTCCCTTTGACAATCCCAAGAGGCATCTGACTCACGTGTTTAAATTGTGTGATCTCTGTAGTTCCTCCCTGCCCCTCCTCCTGCCCTTAGATGTTGGTGTGTTCTGATTCAGACGTCACGGGCATCCTTACGTTATCTTCCATAGCAGTTTTCTTGAACTGTGGACAAGTTACCGTGGGGTGTGTGACCGAAGGAGCTAGTCTGGCTGTCTTAGATAGGTCACTCATCTTACGGGACGTACCTATCAAATAAGGGCTTGGCTTAGTCAGTAAGGCCATCTGGGATTCTAACTCTGACTCCAAAAAATACCCCTCAGGGACTCTTCTGTTCTTAAATGTGCAGGATTGGTTTGGTAGCACCTTCTATTTTTCCTATAACTTTCTTGGAAGGGGTGGAAAGGATTATTCCTTTGAATTTTCAGCTGAGACAAAAGACACAGTATATTAAAGGGGCCAAGTCCAGGTTGCATGGCCATGGGGAGGCTACTTCCAAGTGCTGAGGGGTTTACCAAGACCAGCACAAGTACTGAAGGATCTGGCATGAGGTGTTGGGGTGACATCCATCCCTCAGTCATGGAAATGTGCCACTTGGGGAGACCACAGCTGTGTGTCTCATCTGGATTTTGGACAACTAAGATTGAATAATGGAGTCAGGAGTGTTTGGTGGGTTTCCAGCCCTTCCCCTAACTTGTCTCATGCCTCAGGTACTGTTCTGTGCTTTAGTTTTGTCGCCCATAAAGTGGAGGCTGTGGACTAGTTCTGTTTCTCTCCATTTTTAACTCATGTCCCTTTTCTTTTTTTTTTTAGAGGTTTTTGCTATAGGGCACATGCACTCGCCAGACACAGAGAGAGACAGAGAGAAAGCGAGAAATCACCCCCCAGGGGGGATGGCCATACTGCAATCCTTTCTCCTCCATTCTCCTCTTGGGATCTTGGGCACGCTCACACACGCGCTTGGCGTGAGTTTTAAGCTACAGGGTCCGGGACGCGAACCGCGGTCGACTATGTGGGAGTTCAGCGACATAGCCATTACGCTAACTGTTGGTCCCACTCATGTCCCTTTTCTATGAACACAGAACACCCATGGTCCTTTTTCACGTTACTTGGATTTTCGAAATAATGATTATAACTGAAACCAAGTCAATGTAATTTGTTTCTTGAAAAAGGATTTCTTTAACTTTGATCTTGTAATGTTAAGTGAGGGTGTTGAATCAACCTGTCTTTGCTAGCTTTTCTTTTCTAGATTGTATGAGCCGCTGATCACTTTCAACCCTGAACCTGGTACTAGTTGTTACGTGGTCTAAACGCAAAAAAACCAGCCTTGCTAAGGCTCACAACTATAATATTAAATTTACTTGTTCACAAGTTCCCACCCCACCCTCAACGCCAGGTTAACGCATGATGTTTTTCAAACAATGGGTCATGACCCACTGGGCTCAGCATTTAACAACAAGGATTGGTGCGTGTACTGAATATGAGTGTGCATGGCATGCAGTAAGGAGAAATGCTGTTTGTTAGAATTCTGATTGGACGATGTGTATGTTCCCCAGGTGGCAGTTATGAATGCACTTCTGGGGGTTATGATCAGAAGAGTATGAAAACCACTGGACCTGATACTCTCTAATGTCCTAATGACCCGCAGTCACCAGGCCAAGATTATTAAATAGTTACTTGGGAGATTTTTCACAATTCTTTGCTGCTTGCTGTGTCTTCGTGTTTGACGTAGCCCCATCGTGGTGGGGTGTGAGCGCTCAGTGGCCTGTAAAGGCCCAGGCTACCAGGCCACTGCCAGGATTATAGTGCTCAACCAGAGGGTACCAAGGGAGGGTGCGTAGGGGCTCTGCAGGGCTCTCACCAGCTGGTAGCAGTGACTTGCACCTTTGCAGCTGGGGCTTAGCAGTAGGTTTCCATGAGTCTCTTCCTGGAGTCCCCAAGTGGCAAGTGGCTTGGTGGCCTGCACCAGCATTTGGGTGGCTGTGAGAGCCTGTGGTCTGGTCAGGAGCGCTGAAGACTATGGGGAGCACGCCAGGTGGGTGGAGGAGGAAATTCCAACCAGATTAGGCACACCACTTGTAGACCATGCTGAGTCCTGCCGTGCTGAGGCAGGGGCAAAAGGAAACAGGAAAGATTTGAAGCGGGGGAACTTCCGCTGACCCTTTCACAGCCCTTCTTTTGCTTTGCTTGTCAGGGAAGCCCTGTCTTTTAACTCCTCTAGGGTGAATCCTCCTCCCAGCTCGGTGCAGAAGGAGGTGCGTGCCCCCGAGCTGACAGCCCTGTGAGCGTCGCAAGGCTCAGCGTGGCTGCAGGAGCTGCTGGGTCTCTCTGAACGTTTGTAGCTCACTCCGTGGAGGCAGGTGTCAGGGCCATGGTGGCCCAGCCTTCCTCAGCTTCTGAATTTTCTCCTTGTGGTCTCCTCGGTGCAGGCTGACCGGGAAAAGGGGTGCTCAGGTGGTGCAGTTGCAGCCGGCATCCTCTCCCACCCACCTGAGTGCTTAGGAAACAAACCACGGTATGTACAGTGGTTCAAAAGGGCATGAAATCCCAAATTGCTCTAGTTCCTGGAGCAAAATTATAGTGATTTGTCTTTCTCTCCCTCCCCTTTTTTTGCTGTCCTTCAAGGAGAGTTGGCTTTTTAGAAGGATGGATTTGTAGGGGGAGGGATAGGAAGTCCAGAATGAGGTATTTTTGAGCTGAAATCCTGGTCCTTCTTTCATGTACTCCCGGGCTGCCTACTGACACCCACAGTGGGATCTGGAGGAGGGACCCGGGGACCGTCCAGTTGCAGGGTCAGCCCTTGGTTCCCATGTCCACGTTCCTCCACTCTGAGCTAGGAAGGGGCAGGCTACAGCACAGGGTTAGAGGATGACATCAGGTTTCTAAGGCAGCCAAGAGGGCCTCCTGCTTTTTAGTAGGTAGAGGCGTTCGGGGCTCCCTGAGGGATTTAATCAGTGGCCTTGTTTGAACGACACCAGATCAGAGATGTGCGTGTCATATGGAGAGGAGGAGTGTGCTTCCCAAAGGTTTTCCTGGTTTCCACTTGGG